AATTAAAGTGTGTGTATAATGGGATGGTGCTCAAACTCAACAACTGAAAGTACGGATGTTTAAGAAGAAGAGTGTGTTCTGAATGCAGTACACTGATAAATGAGATTGTGAAAGTAACAGGACAGATCATAATCATCACTACATATGCATATGGATTTCATTGTTTTTTGTCTGTAGCTGAACTAATGAGCAGACATTGTCAATAACTGACACTGGCAACAGCTAAATTCAACTTTTTTTTTTTTCATATTAATAACTGTCATTCAGTACTAATATATATCATGAAATTGAATAAATGTGACAGTAAACAAAGATATAATTTTACAAATGGTTTCTATTTCAAATAAATGCTGTTCTTTTGAACTTCAATCGAAGAATCATGAAAAACCACAGTTTCCAAAAAAAAGATTAAGCAGCACAACTGTTTTCAGCATTGTTAATAAGAAATGTTTCTTGAGCTCAACATGTTAAAATGATTTCTGAAGGACCATGTGACTCTGAAGACTGGAGTAATGGCTGCTGAAAATTCAGCTTTGCCGACATAGGTATAAATTACATTTAAAACAATATTAAAATAGTTATTTAAATGTTAATATTACTTCACAATATTATTTTTTGTGTGTTTTTGAGCAAATAAATGCACCATTGGTGAGCATAAGAGACTTCATTAAAACACTGAAAAAAAAATAAAAAACATATCCAAAACTTTTGAATGAGGCCCTCCATAAATTACACTTGCCAATGTCACAATAAGGGGTAAATCCGTGCTGACGCCCATAATCTGTGAGACAAAAAGCATGTGTGTCTAATAACACCATAGTCATCTTGATAATGCACTGATGCAATGTTATGGCAGTACTATAATGATACAATAGTTTAAAGGTGCTGTATGTAATTTTCTTACTGTACTAAAACATAAAAACACCATAATACATTACTGGATAATCAGGAAATATGCTAATTTCACATACTTCATATACTTGTTTCTCTGAAAAAACAATGCTACAGCCAGTTATTCTACTTTGAAAATGGGCATTCCATGTCAGAATGTCTGTTTTTGTTTTGGTCTGTGTGATTCTGCCCATTGACCCAACCATTTCAACTGCTAGCTGTCACTATTACATACTGCATCTTTAAGGATAATATAAAAACACTTTGCACACGGGGCAGCTGTGACCACTGCCTTTTGTGTTTTTGTCACCTATGTAGGTGACATTCAGTACTGTTTTCTTAACACCTGTTCAGGCTGTACTCAGCACTTGAAGTCAGCTGAACACTGTGCGCAGGTGCTTCAGATAGTGCTACTTTCTCCAGATGCAAGACAAATATTCAGAGTGAATTTTGATGGTGTTACTGTGGCAATCGAATCATGGAGAAACAGATGATTGAGCTACCAGAACTAAATGATCTGATATAACTGCATGTCTTAGCCAAAAATACAAGCTGGAGGGACGCCTGAGAATCACCCACACATGCAAATACAGGAGGCAGTGCATTTTGTGTATGTACTTTATATGCGTGTATTTTCATGAATAAAATACACAATGTGTACCACAAAATGTACAGCGAGTTCTGTTAACCATTTTGTTCTCAAATTCTACATTCTTCATTCATTAATCTGTAAGTTGATTGTACTGTTATGGACAACATCACGTCATGTTTTTCAAGTCCAATTGAGAATTCTCTTGTGTTCTTAAGATATTTTTATAATGTACTTTTGGCACTGATCCCTGTGAGCTCTCACTTTACTTCTTACTACAGCACAATTGAACACAACAGACCTCTCACATAAAGAAATCATTCTTATGAGTTGGATCTTTTCAATGAATCAGCTGAACCAGTTTACAAAAGAGGTCAAACATAATTCACGAATAGCACAAAATCAAACGGTTCTCCAGTGAACTCACAAACAGAGAATCATCTCATTTGTAATGAGCCGAGAAAAGATGATTGTAGAAGCATTTGACCGATGAATTTTGGTGAAGAGATGCTAATCAAATAGCAGAAATGTTGCAAATTAAAAGCACTGGAAATAACTTGATGGTATTACTCATACACATGCAAAACAGTGCTTGTTTTAAAGGGACAGTTCACCCAAAAACAAAGATTATATTTTGAAGAATGCTGGGAACCAAACAGTTGGTGGTCTCCATTGACTTCCATGTATGGAAGAATACAAAATATATATATTCGTCGAAATATCTTCTTTTGTGTTCAAAAGGCTGCAAAGTCTGCATCAAACTGAAATGGGAAAATATGTAGCTACTGCGACATATACATCAGTATTAAAAAAGCGTAATAAAAAGCAATAAATAGCTACAATGGCTACGTTTTAGAACAATATGCCACGCTAGGGACCGTGTGATGTTGTCATGAGGTACAAGAAGAACTGAATCGCTTTTTGAACCTGTTCTTCATAACAAACCGTTCGAAAGAACCGATTCGCGGACAAGAATCGAACTTCCCATCACCATCAGAACAAGACCGATGATGGAAAGATGATGATGATGAGTCATAGCCAATCAGAGCACGCAGCTTTTGGAAAGGTGCCGGATCGGCGGGAACACGGCGAGCTCACGGGGCACAGAAATATCTCGCGGGGTGTTACAGCACTGATTGCAATAGCAAAGAAAATTACAGGTACAAATAGAAACCCACCACTAACCGCAAAGTACAATACTGTATCTTTAACGCAGTATGCTTATCTCCTGTGCAGCTAAAAGCCCTTTTTTATTAAAATGCCCCTGAGGAAATGTATGGGCTTTATTGCCATGGCAACCATCAGCGTCAGCCAGTGGAAAGGAAGCGCAGGTGGCTTGCGCTTTTTACGCACCGATTTACAGCCGTCTGCCGAACACGCAGCACCGCTTTAATAAAACGCACTACACATATTCAGGTCCTCAAGACAGTCACCTTTCCGCTTAGCGACAGTCCAACGGGTGAAAGTAAGCTCGGTAGAGTCTATATATCACAGCCAAAACAACTCGTTTAGTACACGAAAACTTACATTATTACAGAACTTACGTATTTTCGCCACACTGGCCACCAAAAGCCAGCTGGCTATGATGTAAGGTGTTTGCACGTAGCTCCATTCCCACTGCACTATCTTGTATCCTCCTCCTCCGTGGTGGTGGTGAGACGACGACTCTCCGTCCTCCGTGCTCGGCGCCGCCGGTTCCTCCGCAGACCGGGCGAGCGCAATCCCGGGATGTCCGTACTCTTCTGGAATATAGCGAGAGGCGACGGGGGATGTGACGGCAGGTGCGGCGCTTACCTCCAGCTCTGGCGGCAGCGATGCTCCTGTCACGTAAAGGTCAGTCGTTGCATCACTAGCCACAGTTATGAACAGGAGCAAACTCAAGCCCCGCATCTTTCCGGCGTGTTCAACGGCGTGTCATCTTCATTTCTTTTATACACAACTGTTGCGATGGCAAGCCCTCCGCGGGACGCCCCGTTACCGGTTTACAACATCAACACACACCCCACTTGCCGGTAACTCGCGAAGGTGCAGCTGGCGTATAGGGACACGTGATTCGGTCGTGCACGAGGAGGTTCTATTTAAGAGCCGGCACCCATCATCCTCATCAAAATAGTAAGTGCATTAAAAACTCGCATTATCAGCCTATTTCTACGTGCCACGAAAAAGTACATTATGGAGAAATATATTTGCTTTTATAGCAGAATAATCGACAAGTCAATTTAACCATCTACGCAGTATATTCTAAATAATAGATCACTAAATTATGATTGTAGCTGTCAAATGAATGAAAAAAAAAGACACATGCGCCCCCAGGAGGACAAAACAATGAAGAATTTCTGACATCTGCCCTTGATTGTTTGACTGGCAATAATAAAACAGGGAAAAAAGTCTAATAAAACATTTAATTTCATTTCATTTTAAACAAAGCTTTGTCTTTGGATTCAAGGCCAACATGTCAATGTGAAAATTCTGAGACAGAATATAATGTCTAACAGAAGCACTGTACTTGCCAACTATTTCTCTGCAAACAAACTTTCTTTGTGCAGGTGTCAAGAGTGGTGACGGGGACGTACAACACTGGGACACTAATAGTGATACATTCAGAGTGAAGAACACATGCACTCATGCAGACAGGTAATAAGGTCATATATAAAACAATAGTGATTCATAGTGACTCTAAATTCCTACAGCATAACCCCCTGTGCAAAAAAGCAATACCAAGAAAATCCTTAAAATATGTGCTTGTAACAGTTTTTTAAAAATGCTACAGAAATGTTGTGTCTTTAACGCAACACTTCTCTTCAGCAAGAAACAGAGTGGTCCATCCATGCACATTTAACACCATAACAATGGTATAACTAAAAAGGTTAAACTTGAACTCATCAAAAACAGCACAAAAATAAATATCAGGACAGAAATGTGATACAGCAGAATACAGGGCTGTGTTGTAGCATCCACAAACCTATCAAGAGAGCTCTGTGATTAATAAAAGAAAAACAAACATGTGACCTAGTTTATGTCCTCTCTAATCAAGATCTCCTTGGTAGTCAGGGTATCCAGTTGAACATCACCCAGGTGCACAGGGTCAGCTTTCCAGACACAAATTAAACCCGGTCCAAGACTAAAGAGTTTTCAATGGTCAATCATTACTGTCAGTGTCGTTTATTCCAGGTTTCAGCTTCATTAATGGGCACAGGAAACCACTGTGTTTGAGTTACCCTATTGCATCGATCTCAACCGGGCGGAAACACCGGGGAAGTCGTGGCCTAATGGTTAGAGAGTCGGACTCGTAACCCAAAGGTTGCAGGTTCGAGTCACGTACCGGCAGGGATTGTAGGTGGGGGGAGTGAATGTACAGCGCTCTCTCCCACCTTCAATGACTGAGGTGCCCTTGAGCAAGGCGCCGAACCCCAACTGCTCCCCGGGCGCCGCAGCAAAAATGGCTGCCCACTGCTCCGGGTGTGTGTTCACGGTGTGTGTGTGTTCACTGCTGTGTGTGTGCACTTTGGATGGGATGAATGCAGAGCACTAATTCCGAGTATGGGTCACCATACTTGGCCACATGTCACTTCACTTCACTTCAATTACGGGCTTCCATGATCCTAACTTTGAGCTGAGCCATTCTAACAGATATGGCTAAAATATAAAAGTTTTGTCTTTTAAAAAATTCAGTATTAACTTAAAACCTTTCAAACCCTCAGATACATCTGTTTGACAAATTGTGCTCCAATCTATGCAATCTAAGGCTCTATACAAAATAATATGTGCATCTGGTCAAACTATATAGCATTTCATGTCACTGGATCATATTATATGCAGCTATTCTCCATCGGTAAACATGGGCTGTTATTTAATACTATGCCATTAAAGTTCGTACCAATCAAATCATGATATGTCTAAAGGACATCATGCGCACACTTCAGGTCTCTGTATAGTAATGCAGCTGTTTGTATTTCAGATGGAAGTACATGATTGAATTGTTCAGATTGGCAGATAGATTTAGTTGCAGGCATCCCACAAAATGTCAGCGAAGATCCCTTCATCACAGATCTTCCTGTCATTAATGCAGCTCTCCTTATGGCCTCATTGCTGCCTGCTACAGTTTCCCCCACATGAGAACTACCAGCTTCAGACCTTCCCGTTAGTACTGCCGAGGCCAAGGGCCTGCACCACATCCACACTAAGCCCACTCTTCAGAGTCCTCCGCACTGCAACACAAACATCACACCATTAAAACCACAACACTGTATGTTATACTGTAATATAAAACATGTAACTCAGTGTCGAACAATCTAAATAATGCATAAACTATTTGCACATGTATAAAGACTGTCTGTCTTTGATGAACTAAAATGCTCTGGAATGGAAAAGGTAAAGCTTTCCTGTAGTTCAAACAGTAGAGCAAGGCGCTAGCAACACCAAGGTCATGGGTTTGATTCACAAGAACTAATAAATGTGTACCTTGAATGCAATGTAAGTCACTTTAAATAAAAGCATCTGCCAAATGTATAAATGTAAATAATAAAGGTGAAGCTGCAGATAAATTAGCAAATATTTAGCAACATTTTGTGGGCAAAAAGTGTCCATTGTCTATTGTCAATAATGTAGTGATGTATGAAGCACCTCTCACACAGAAGTCACTTTCAAACCAAGCAGCTATCTGTTGGTCAACATGGCAAACTCGCATTACCAACCTGAACCCCGTTGCAAAGTCTGCATGCTGAAATCTTTCCCTCATGTTAAATTCCCAATTTCGTGAATTACTATTCCTATAGAAATTACTGGATTTCGCCCACGAAAATGTGCCAAACAATGGTAAATCAACTGCGCTTTAAGACATACCATAGACAGCTTCAGCATATTATAAGTAAACCTAAAAAGTCTCCGCTGTATAGATTATTTTTCAGGTTTGGAGGTTTGTGTGCTTTCAGTTTCCATTTTTAAAAGTACAGTTGCAAGAATGCCCTACAAAAGGCTCTTTGTGGTGTCGATTTCTGAGATGTCTGGCAGTTGAATTCGGAACAAGCAGAAGTAAAGAGGTGGCACGATATGGATCTGACAGGGAGATTTAGGGGCTTTTGAAAATTAAGCAATGGTTGAAGCCAGATTACATTGTGTTTTGTACGCAGATAGTGTTGAATGCAAACAGTGACTAAATCCTTAATCTCATTCCCCAGGTTTAGGGCTAAAACAACTCTCAGAACTGGTTATGAAGTTCAGTGGTCAAAAAAATAAATAAAACATGCGTTGACAGTCTAAATGTACTTACATGATTTTCTGTTAAGCCGTGAGCGTTTCCGTGTTTTTGGACTAGACGCCCTCTCTGTGGGATTTTGGGTGACAGACTTAACCAGACGATCCATGATCTCATCTGTGGCATCGTCCTGTGAGCTGGCGCTGTCCTCTTTGGCTACAGACATGTTTGTACAAACCCTGCCTAAACCTGTGTAGAAATTACATTAGATCAATCATTACTTTGCTTAATTACTTTAAAAACCAGTCCAAGATCTTTCAAAGGAAGCGTTAAAATGAATGAGGCTGGTATTACTTCTCAGCAAGCTGATGAAAATCAGTAATTTGTAAAAGGTTCACATATATTCAGGCAAATATACAGTTGGGTGCAAAGTTTGAATCAATGGCTTATTCATCCAGGTTTTTCCCATGTCTGTCTTGACAGCCCTCGAAAATCAATTTAGTTCATAATAAATCTGTTAGTTGAGCAAACCCACTCCATGCAGCCTGTGCAGTAGCTCTACCTTCATCATCATCATCATCATCATCCTGTGCTGATTGGCTCTCTACTGGTGAAGTAGGAGCGCTGTCAGAGTCATAAGGCCCCTCTGTGAGATCAAATTACCCAGCCTTAATGCTCTCATTAATTATAAAGTTTTACCATATATTAAAAGCTGCACAATTGCTTTATTGTTGCACACATCCATGCTCCAAATGCTGTACATTCATGACTTAACTGAAGGGTTGGTGAAATTGGAGAAGTGTCACCACCAGTGCTAAGAATCTCTATAAAAGATCCCCAAATTGATAAACAACAAAACTTAAATAATAATAATAATAATGGTAATCATCATCATCATAATCATCCAAACAATTGCAATATATGACATTTTAAAAAGGCAAAATGAAAAACAAAAGAAAACAAAACAAGGACACCGAGCTACATCTGTGTTTGATAACTGAATTTTTTTTATTGAAACTGGAGCCCTTAGTTCTGCTTCTGGAGATCTACCTTCCTGCAGATGTTACTTCTGTGACTGTAATTAAACAAATCTGGATCAACTAAACCAGGTGTGCGAGAGAAGGGATGGAACTAAATTCTAAAGGAAGGTTGGGTCCAAGCAGGAGGACTAACACTGCTCTAAACTGCTACACCTGGATTTGCGTTGTTGTGGTATCTTACTTCGTACAGCACGGCTCCTGCGCAGCTTGCTGTTGTCATTGTTGGCGATGAGCAGGTTTTTCATGTTCTCATGCTCCTCTTGGGCTGGCTCTGATTCTATTGTTGAAGAAACCAGGGATGGGTTGTCCTCCATAGACAGCTGTGGAACTGCTCCAGAAAACTTCTCGGTCTGTGAGAAAAAAAGATAGTACAATTAATTATTGGTAATGTTTTTTTCTCAGTCTACTAAATTGACAATTGAGGGTGATACAGTGGGATTGTGGACAGGGCCATGAAATGGTTAATTCCTTTAAATGAACAATCTGAGTTCAATACCATTTCAGCTGTATTGACAACATTTGTGGCATAATGTCGATCAGGACTGATGTCAGGGGGAGGACAACACAGAAAATTGTCCCAGGCCCTGTGACGTGGTGGGCCAGCTAAATGCTTGATCTTTATAGTATTGAGTGTTCAGAGGTGGACCATAGTTGGGTCTGGACCATGGTCTGGGTTTTGTCTAGCAATGACCTTGATGGCACTGAAATGATGAAGATGTGAAATATTCTCTTATTTTGTTTAAAGAGGATATTTTTTCCCATTTAGTACTGCCCAACAGAAGCCACACAAAATAAGTACACTTTACTCTAATCATCGTATTAAAAAAAATGTTTTACTCTTGGAGGATTTTTCTGAAGATCAGTGGGCAGTTCAACAGCTCTGGACAACCAAGGGACTCATGAACAACTATCACAAAATATAAAAGCCGTGGCTCATCCAGGAAAAATCACACAGCATTAAGAATCAAGCATATGTAAACTTTTGAACAGAGTGTATATAAAAAAAACATTATTATTATTATTTTTTAAATATTATTATTATTCCTGTTATTTTGTTAAACTTACTAACTTTTTTCAGATTCTACAAGATATGTGTAAACTTAAGGCCGTAACTGTAAATTGGAAGTAAATGAGCAATAATCATTAAAATAGTTCTAAAAATTATTTCAAAAAGACTAAAACATTATGCATGATGGTATAAGATTAGTGAAATAAAATCAGAGGACATGCATTTTAAGTTCATGATTTTCCTCAAGAGCTACCATTCCACACCTCTGTGATCAGCTTGCCCCGGGTCTTGGTGCGCTCCCGGTGGACGGCACGTTTGCGTTTCTGGGTGAGGACTCTCTCTTGGGTGGTGCGGTACTCCAGGGCAAACTCACTGATGATCTTACAGAATTGAGTTACTTTAGTGTCCCGCACTGAGTAGGAGGGCTGACCCAAGTACAGCAAGAAAGAATGAAACCTGCAATGTGAAGGAAGTAGAAGTTAATATACTGTATGCTCCACTTCATCCTAATTAAAAAATTAGGCACAGTCATTCATGCTCATCAACTTATGGGAAGCATCCAAATGAAGTTTGTATCTTTTGGTTTATCACGTTGAAGTATAAAATGGATTACAGTGACATTTTTTTTTTGTGTGTTACCTATTAATAATGCGTCTGTGCACTACTTTCAGGATGATGATCCTTTCAGTACAGTCCTTCAGAAATTCTGTCATTTTGTTTTTCAAGTTAGGTTTAGTTTCGTGTTTGGCCATTACTTTAAGGTTGTCCCAAGATGCTTTGCATTTTCTCTCCAGCTGAATAAGGTTTTCAGACAACTGCTCAAAATCCACCTGTGGGAAAAGAGAGGAGGTAGTGGTAAATTATGAAGATAAACAGTGTTATTTACATAGTTACCTTCAAAGGGAGAAACAGAACAGAAAATGTACACAGCAGTTTATTCATTAATTACAATGGCAACTTTTACAAGATGTGCTGAAGAAAACAAACGGCTACTATAAAAGCCTAAAATGAATAAATAGTGTTGAACATGGTTGTATCTAAAAGGTAAGACAAACAGAACAAAGGAATCCAAAATGGATATAAAGAAGCATCTGAGTCACTTACTTTAGCAGAGCGTGTGATTGATGAGATCTCAGAGTAAAGGTCTGTCGCATCTGGGTAGTTTTCCACCACAAAATTGCAGGTATGATGAAGCAGAGACTGCCTGTGTACTGTGTCCTTCACCTCAGTAACCTTCTCCAGATAACTGAGCTCAAAGCCCTTTGCCTGCCAGAGAGACAAGAAGTGACAATTAAAGTCATTATGTGATGTTCAATGAACTACTACATTAGCTTTGTTGGAAACTGGTGGGAAAAAAAATATTAAGACAGCTACTCATTAAATCGAGTGACACAAATTAAAGGACATCATGCTCTGAACAGTTATTAAATGCAGAGTTCAAGAGGTCAGCACAGAAAACGTGCCATGCAGGGTCTTGATCATATCTCGTCTTCGACAAGACAAAAGCAAAAGGTTAAGACATTAGCACACAGAGCTGCTCTGATTAATCACATGTGTTCATCAAGCTTCAGATTGGCGCACATGCGCTTAATACAGGTGCTGTAAAGGTAACTCTGCTCCTAGGACTCACTGCGGAGGAGATGGAGCACTTACATTGGAGCTATTAAGGAAGTTTCCAATGGCCAGTAGTGTTGCTAGGACACGCTTGAAGGTTTTGTTCTTGGCAAGTTGTTCCATACCCAGTTTCAGGTCAAAAAGAGGCTCTGCAATCTCCTGCAACATTCATGTGTGATGGATAGAAGAATGACAGAGAAAGAGAGAGATTGTGAATGAATGTTTGGTAATGAAAGCCCCACTAAACACAAAGTCATTACCAATCAAGGTCGGCAGAACTCAATTGAAGAAGCCTAAAATGACTAAATTCCTACTGTCAGAGCTAGAGTATAATGATCAGACAGAATGCAGTACTGAAGCACACCAGGGCTATGAATAAGCCTTAAATTGTGACAAAATACACCAGTGTTCTATAGACAGTTACATATATTAATTATAATAGGGGTAAACAATGCTTTGACCAATGAATATAATCCATTACCTGTATATCTTTAGGGTGCCAAGCAATGCAGCATTTGGTGTGTATATGAGCGGTTATTACAACCGCTTCAAATGCAGCTCATCCAATCAGACTTCACAGTGGGAATCAGATTTATATATATGAAAAAATAATAATAAGAATAATCTAATGCTTACAAATACATTACCGAACGTTTGGGGTCAGGCTTTTGTTTTGTTTCGTTTTTGAAAGACATTAAATTGATCATAAGTGAAAGTTAAAAAAATCTGTTATTTTGAACTTTCTATTCATCAAATACTGATATAAAATTTATCGCAGTTTCCAAAAAATATTAAGTAATGGCTGCTGAAAAATTCAGCTTCGCCATCACAGGAATCAATTACTTTTTAGAAAATAGATAAGTTATTTTTAGTTAAAAATGGATCATTAAAACTTTATATTTTAACAGGACTGTTATGGAGTATTAAATGACCACCTCTGCATGGCAATTAACGTAGACTAGTACTAACATATAGTAGCAAACATATACCAACATATAACTGTTTAGCTCATATTTTATTATGATCATGCTACTGGAGGAAACTTAAGCCCAATCCCAATTCTACCCCTTAGCCCTTCCCCTTTCCCCTACCCCTCCATTTCGCGCGTTCATGTGAAGGGGTAGGGGTGTCTCAATTCTCTTTTGGTTGGAGGGGTAGGGGTAGGGGAAGGGCCAGACAGCCCTTCAAACGAAGATTTTTCGGGACCACACTTCAAACGAAGGGGTATGAATTATCTCAGCGTAAACCGGCTTCAGGGGCAACATGGCTGCCCGAGCAAACAAAAAGACACATAAATGTAAGCATTTTTGGCATTAATAAAGATTTTAACGAAAAGTAATAATTTGTTTTATGTTACATTCAATCGTGAGTTCGTATTTATGGTCATGTTACTCAAAGAAAGAGAGAGAGATGAAAGATGCGTGTATTATTAAAATGAGTTTACTTAAAAAACAGCGATTTTATCCTCACTGGAAAATATAATGTAGCGATTCAGTATTTAAACTGTTATTAATAAAAGTCGTGGGGCAGCGTTGACAAGTTTCTTTTCTCCTGGATGTGTGAGCTGCGCGATCTCCGATATATATATATATATATATGTGTGTGTGTGTGTGTGTGTCAGTAAGCAACGCAGTAATATAGAACGGTAATTAAAGGCTCTAATGCACACCAGCACACCAGTATAGGTGTGTTTATTGTAGGAGCTAGACGACGTATGTTGACGTGTGACGTTATAGTAGTGGTGTCCCAATTCTTAGGGGAATATTTTCACCCCTACCCCTTGACACTCTGTTTCAAGGGACAAGGGGAAGGGGTAGGCGGAGGGGTAGGGGTAGGGGAAGGGGAAGGGGTATAAAATAGAATTGGGATTGGGCCTTAGTATAAAAAAAAAGAGGATTTATTGTCATAGGGCTCTGACCTTCTCCAGGGTCTCATAGTTCAGTTTAAAGGCCCAGAGCTGTAATCTGGCCGTAAGGCCACTGATGGAGGAGAGAGTGAGCAGAAACTGCTCTGCTGTACCCAGCGGTATATCAGGGTTAGCCAGCTGTGCCTCCTGAATCTTCTGTTTCTCTTCATCTGTTGGAGTCATGGTCAGGATTTTCTACAGGTGGATGGAAGCAGAGGATATTTTACATCAGATTTGTACTGTAAAAATTAATCATCTGAATCTTTATTAAATTCACATGAATTATAAAAAGAAAGAAATTATGTTTAATACATAAATGAGGGAATGTTTAAAGGGATAGTTCACCCAAAAAATGAAAATTCTGTCATAAATTACTCATCCTCATGTTGATCTGAACCTGTAAGACCTTTGTTCATTTTCGGAACACAAATTAAGATATTTAAAAATATCTTAATTTATGTTCCGAAGATTAACGAAGATCTTACAAGTTTGGAACAACATGAGGATGAGTAATTTATGACAAAATTTTCATTTTTTGGGTGAACTATCCCTTTAAACAAATTAAATGAGCTACTACTGCCCCCTGGTGGATGCTAGTGCTACATTACCTCAATGCCCTCTTTACTGATGGCAAACTCATCAAAGGTGAGGATGGCACTTTTGATGACATGTATAGCAGGCAAAACAGTCATGCCGATGTTGATGGCATTGCTCCTCTTAGGATCAAGCACTAAAATTGCTGCTTTCTTGGTCTCAGCAACTTTCTGTAGGAATAGGATAAAACCATTTATAGCATGCACTGGCCATAAAAAAAAAAAAAAAAAAAAAAAAAAAAACTATAAAAAAAATAAAGTTAATATCACTGCAATACGTCATTTTTAAATAGAAAAGTTTGAATGGCAAACTTTGAATCTTGGCGTGACAAAGCCTTTTCTGAAATGTAAAAAAAAAAAAAAAACTGATCAAAAATAAATGGATAAACTGCTTTTAAAGTTCCCTCGCAGTAATTTTAAATCAAAAGGAGATTATGCTTTTTCTGTGGTAGGTTCCAAACTTTGGAATAGTCTCCCATTCCACGTGAGGTCAGCTTCATCAGTTGCCACCTTTAAGTTTTACTTTATAACTTATTTTTTTAGTTAGATTTTGAATAAACTGTTTGTTGTATGTAAAATTAAATGTTGATTTTAATTATGTTTTTTTGTTTTGTTTTGTTTATGTTGTAAAGCACTTTGGGGCTGCATCTAGCTTTAACATTTATTCACCCATATATTCAATAGCAGCATTCCCACAGCGAGGTGACCTATCATCCTTTAGTAGTTAAATGGCTTTAGTAAATTGGTAAATGGTAATTTTTTGTGTAACTGAATAGTTTATTTTTAAACAAGTTTGCCGGTTTGCGTTGTCTGGCATACATATGCTCTATTTGTTACTTGTACCTGTATGTTTAAGATGCATAAGATTGTAGACCTTCACTGTATTTACATACAAATGTGCAAGGATACATTTGTAAAAATAAAAACTACTAATAATAATAATAATTCTTCTTATTAAAGAATTTAAATATCATGGAAAAAAATGTTTGCCTGTCGCACCTTTGCTACTGGAAGATCCTTTCCTTTGGACTCAAACAGGTGCTCCAGCTTAGCTGTATCGACTGCAACCTTATCAAGTGAAGCCCAAACTGTGCCCCGCCCAAACTTGCACTTCCTGGGGCTATCGGGCTGCTTAAGCTCCTTCCAGAACAGCTTGACTGTTTTCCGTTTATTTAGAAAAGCCGGATCATTTCCTTGAGACGGGGACAGAGGGAGGAGTCCTGGAGGAGGAGGAGGCACACTCAAACCTCCAGGAGGAGGTGGAAGAGGAGGGGGTGGAGCCAGACTAGCAGGTCCAGGAGGAGGAGGAGGGGGTGGCGGCGGTGGGGGAGCTGAGCCCAGTCCTGGCACTGGAGGAGGAGGTGGGGGTACTCCATTAGGCAAACCGGTGTCAAAAGTGTCTATATCCAGCACGTCGATATCCTCCTCATCCATCAGATCGGAGAAGTCAAGATCTTTAATCCGCAGGGGTCTGGAGCTGGGCTGCAGCTTCTCCCAGGCATCCTGACTACCCCTGGATAATGGTGTCATCATTGTCTTCTCTAAACTCTGTGAATGAGTCTCAGCTTCAATACTGTATTGTGGATGCAGCTTCTTGTTCTGTCCCTCCGCTAGCCTGGCACGAGCGGCCTGAGCAGTGCCTTCAAGGCTCTCCAGCTCCGCCCGCCTGGATGTGTCCTCTGTGGGCTGAGAAGTGTGAGACTGCAGTCTCGAGAGCCGTCCGGCCATACTGGTGATCCCATGGTCCTCAAGTGCACTTTCCAGACTAGGACTTTTTAGGCCTCCAGAGGAGTTGTTGTTTTTGGAGTAGAGCATATCCAGCATGAACTTCCTGTCATTAGAGAGGGTGCTGTGCTGTTCCGCTGCACTGCCCCGACGCTGCAAACCACCCTCTAGAGGAACCATAAAAATATGTGCTGAAGGAAAAATATTAGGTATACACAATATATCAGTACCATACAGTATAGATTACTGGTGTTTTTTGTATTATTATTTATCAGTATCGGTCGATGTTGAATATTTTTTATGTATTTAGTATTTTATTCAACATAGACAATGGACATGACTGGCCAAGAATTATCTACAGAGATAAATTTCATCTGCAGTCAATGGACTACAGATGAAAAGGCGTATTATGGTAGTACTATAATAAACATTGTTACATGTCTAAAATAAATATTAAAAAGCACACAAAAAATGCTACATTGAATATATACATAGATTATACTGCATATATAATTGTGCATGCTCATTATCTTGTAATTTGTAGCATCATTTGTAGCATTTATAATGACTGACTTTAGTTTTTATTGTTTTACATTCAATTTATTTAAAATTCTACACAAAATAGTACAGAATTTTAATATCGGCCATGTATCAGTTTTCGGTCATAACATGAAAAGTAATCTGCTTATTGATGTTGGTCAGAATTGTTATATTGTGAATTTCCTAGAAAGTACAGTGTGCAGCATAATAGTGTTGCCATCTACACTGTAGTTAAGCAATAATCTTTCTTTCAGAACAACAGCTGCAGGCTAAAAGAAACATCCTACCTTCAAAATGCCCAGTGCAAGCACAGATCATGTTGTTCCCACATGCTACCATCCTCTAGCTTCAGTAACCCAGTGCAGACGAACAACAGTAACTCCGCTGAGGTCTAACAGCATTGTAGTGCTAACTGCCTAAAACCTCAATAAGCCAAAACGGAAACTGAAAAAAAGGGGAGATCCCCATCTCAAAATCTAAACAGTTTACATCTCTGCCCTCTACTTCAGCTAATTTATACTCCCTGGACGAAAGGCCTGTTAGTGGCTGTGTCATTTGGAACACGGCCACTAGAGGAAGAAATGGAATCACTCTCAAACATTTCCACTTTGAAGATTTCTGCTTGAAATAAAGTTCTTGACTTCCCAAAGAAGCCCTCACACAGAAGTGCTTGACTATTGCTCAGTGTCAGAGATTTTCAATGGGCAGAAACCAGGTTACGAAACCTATTGGTCAATAGATGCTTAGTAGAAGAAAATCGTTGCTTATTAAATTTAAACAAAATATCTCAAAAAGCCATGTCTGCTCGACATAAGTGTTTGGAAATACAACTGAACTCTTGTTTAAAGTGCCCCTATTATGCCATTTTTAAGGTTCCTTCCTAATATTGTTTTGGGAGCCTCCTACAACAGGTTTACATGCATGCAAGGTCAAAAAACACTTTCGTTGTCTCGTAATATACATTTAATTTCACCGCAATTCTCAATGATTCGTAAACGATTCATACGAAGCAGTTCTGAGATACAGTCTCTCTAAACCCTTCCTTTTCGTGAGCCTACTCTGCTCTGATTGGTCAGATGGCCCAGTCCTTTGTTATTGGTCTACCGCGTACAGCGCGTGTCGGAAACGAAACACTCATTGCCATAACTGAATGACAGCTCCGGAGAGAATGTATAGAGAGAAAAGATGCTACACTGTTTCAAGGTGGTTCAAGTTGTTTGCGGCCAGACAACGTAGAATATAGGCTGGGATTATGCAAATGTGTTACCCAGTGTCATGCAGCCATCATGGAAATGGGATTCTAATTCCTGACGACTCGTTTAGGTGATTCAGAGTCGATTATTTTATTTGAGAGACAATAACATTATTTACCGTGCACTGTCGGCTTCACAACTTTGCAGATAGTTTACATTCACATACGGCTACATTACACACTGCATGAAAGGCAATATTCTAAATAGCATAATAGGGGCACTTTAAGAGTGACGGCTGGCTAAGCTTTGAAGTAGGTATGTGGAAGACAATGTTTGTTCACGTCATAGGCAGACAGAGAGGCAGTATGAATGACACGAAGAATGACAGAGACGGAGGGTTGTGGTGGGAATGGAATCTCTTGCCTGCTTCATTGTGGGCTGCTGTTGTGTGCTCTGGCTGCTCCAGGGTGTGCCTGGTCAAGTTTACCCCTTGAGACTCCGGACCACTAATAGATCCTGCAAAACACATTGGAAAACATTGAAAAAAACACAACTTCACAAAGAAAGATCCAGCAGTGCCTAAACCGTACAAAACCTTTATATAATTCCATGCAAAAGTTCATATAACAGTTGTGAATATGTGACACCTCATGAAGCAAACTATTAATATCCAAAAGACAGTCCTGTCCATGCAGCTAATCTACTTTACACATCTTCTCAGTTTTGGTTTGAGAAAATGTGTTTGTTAAACCAGGATCACACAGTCGCCACAGGAAGTTCATAACAGTTAACAGTGCGGTTTTAGTATTATTTATACACTATTATGGTATTTATTATTTATTTTGAATTTGCTTTTATTTTAATGTTTTCTGTTTTCATTTTAAAACATTAACATGAACATTATTACATATTTAATGTATTTTTAATATAAAAAAATTACCATATATTTAGCTTTAATTTATTTTTATTTCAGTTTTAGTTTTAATTAATATTAAATTTTATATTAATTCAAACTAAATTTAATATTTACATTTAATTAATATTTTAGTGTTTCAACTTAAAATTATTTTATTTCAGTTAGTTGCCAAGACAACATTTCTAATTTAAAAGATTTTTTTCTTTTTTCATGTAATATTTATTTTACCATACCTTCATTCTAATTAACAAAAAAAGTTTTATTAATAGTTTAGTTTTCGTTAACAATAACAACAACACTGTATCTTTTTTGTATTCCACATAAGTAAGTTATATAGGTTTGAAACCACATACAGTATACTGCATACAGTAGTTTATTAGTGCATTTAATTTACTGCTGATGAAATATAGCTTCTCAGATGCAGCAGTGATGTGGTCTGGCAGTTGCATACATGCAGGCCATTGTCCAACTATCATTTCTGCTTCCATAACGATCAATCATCTCTCTGACACTTAATTAGCGACTTTCAGCCTTGCAGGACCCATGATTCTAGAAGAACACAAAAAGATAATCTCAACCTTACAACATTAATCATGTTAGGCAACTTCCTATCTATGCTTGGCATAAACCAGATGACACACATGCAAGCAATAATTAAAAGTGTGCAGCTCTAAAAAGCAGTCAGAACCATCACAGTTGGAATGCTGAACGTTATGAATCTCAGCAGGACACATTACATAATCATGACAAACTTGCTCTAGAACAATCAGAGCACATTCCAGACTTGGCAATTAACAGTATGTGCAATAACCTCAAGGAGTTGACATACAGAGTGTAGACTAGCTTGTAATTCTTCATGACAGTGGACACACACAAACAGACAAATAAATGACCACAAATACGCTTACACACTCATAAGCATTCAGGTTTAGTAAAGCTTCATTGTTCAGGGAAAAGCAGAGAGATTATGATGTCGGATCATGACTGGAGTCTTGATAGATAGATAGATAGAAAGACAAGAAGAGGAAGAGAACAACAGAACAAAAAGAGAAGTGGAGTGGTGGAGAGATGGAACGCAGCCGGTTGAGAAGGAAGAAATCTGCACAACAGTGTGACATTGTAAGGAACAGAAGGTCAGGGTATCAGCACCTGTGGTGGTTGAGCTGGAGACCGGCTGCTTGGCTTCAGTAGATGCCTCTACATCTGCAGACGCCACACTCTCGCTTAGAGAAGGTCTCTCATGTGCGCCGTATGACTTACTTTTCTTCTCCCACTGGGATGCAGCCAGACTACGCAAGAAATTGTCTCTATAAAGCCAACGGAGAAGAAGCACTCATTTACTGAGCTGTAAATGGAGGGTTTGGTACACATAAGTATTCTGATTCTGCAGAATACAGTGAAACCATAAACTAGTTCAAATCACAAAGGCATATACTAAATTTAAGCTGGACTGAATACTTTCAGTTTGTCCAGACTTCTATTTAGTACAGTAACAAAAATATACACTTACCGGTCAAAAGTTTGGGATCAGAACGATTTTTAATGTTTTCTACAGGAGTTTTTTATGCTCTTCAAGGCTGCATTTATTTGATCAAAAATACAGGAAAAATATAATTTTGTGAAATGTTATTATGATGTAAAATAATGTTTTTCTATTTTAATATACATTAAAATCTAATTTATTCCTGTGATGCAAAGCTGAATTTTCATCATTATTACTCCAGTCTTCAGTGTCACATGATTCTTCAGAAATCATTCTAATATGCTGATTTATTATCAGTGCTGGAAACTATATTGGGAAAAAATATTTTTTTGGAAGCAAGGATGTGTTAAATTGTTAAGAAGTGATAGCAAAGATAGAAAATATTTATATTTGAAATAAATGCTGTTATTTTAAACTTTTTATTCATCAAAGAATCCTGAAATAGGTATTGCAGTTTCCAAACAAATATTTGGCAGCACAACTGTTGCCAACATTGATAATTCTAATAATAAATCAGCATATTAGAATGATTTCTTAAGGATCATGTGACACTTTATACTGGAGTAATGGCTGATGGAAATTCAGCTTTGCATCACAGAAATAAATTATATTTTAAAGGATATTAAAATAGAAACCATTATTTTATATAACATTTTGCAAGATTACTTTTTTTTTTCTGTATTTTTGATCAAATAAATGCAGCCTTGATGAGCATAAGAGACTTCCTTAAAAAACATTACAAGTCTTACTGATCCCAAACTTTTGACCGGTAGTGTATATATATATATTTATATTTAAAGGTTATTACACACTTGTTCAATACCATGCAGTTATGCAAAGTATACAAAGAGACAACAAATCAAAAATATTGTACAGGAAGGCAACATGGAATAATAAATAAATGCACTTTAAAAACAATAAAAAAGCCCTGTGTCAGACAAAGCCCACCACCACCACCACCATATAAATTATTCTCATAAATTATTTCCCACAATTTCAAATCTAATTTACTTCTAAGCTTAGATAAATGTAGAAAACAATGCAGAAAACAAATTTTCTGCATGATTACTTGTTTCAATAACCACCATGCTGATCAGATTTGATTAACTCAGAGTCAAGCATTGGCTCTCCCCACAGTGATCCACCAGAAGAACTGTCAGTCACACTGAGGCATGTGTGCCAAGAATAAACGGCTTCACATGAATGACATATTCCATTTATGTTTTTTAAAACTTGCTGAGAAAGGCAGTAGGTAAGAATGTAACAGTTAAACCCAGTGCCATTGCATTAAAACTTGTTACTTCTACATAGAATCATATAAGAATTATACTACATTAAATTAAAAATAAATAGCCAAATTAAAGGTTAATATTCACACACAGCCTCAGTTTCTGAGCGTAGCTAGCCCCCAAACCCCTGGCCGCATGCTGATGTTTGCAGAAAGAGAGCCTGTAACCATACAGAGCTGCTGTATACTTACTCATAATTCCTCAGAACCGGCAAGTCTCTATTCACACTCTCTGGACTGAAGAGAAACACTTCAATTTACACACTTTGCCCATATCACTCCTGTTAGCTACACCGCACAAGTCTCATTAAATGTATAGAAAATACCTTTAGAAAACCCTGTTGACATTACACCACATCTGGTTTAACTATGGCTTTTAAAGCTTTGAGAAAACTGCTTTGTGGATTTTTCTGGCAATTTTAACAATAGCACATTTTTCCACGAACTGCGATATGATTGCAGCACATAATGAGACATGAGATAAAGTCATCTTTGAGTAGCAACTTGAGATGAAAGAAGAACTTTACTTTTCCCATGACAGAAAACAGAAAATAAAGAATGACAATGAGGGGGAAAAGGCCACAGAGGAAAGAATTATTGTCCATTCATGACAATAAAAAGGCAACTCTCACTTCTAAACTTTGATAAATATTCTGCACTAATGCAATTTATGCACGAACTATCAGAAATATCCAAGTAGCATAGCAAACAATAAAAGAAAAATAATAATTTAAAAAGTTAACCATGCATGAAATGTATCTATTAAAACATATTAATTTTGTTAGAATATTTTTTTGTGGATTAGTCTTTGGCAGATATAATGGATCGATTTAATTTATTCTAAAATTTCCAGCCAGCAGTTGTTTCCTCCATCCCTCCCTTTATGACTTTGTCTCCCCAAAATGACTAAGCATCACAATGATTTAAAGTGCTAGCACCTCCAAAAGCCACATTCTTTGGCCACACTGCAGCTACTCACCAAACACTGTCTGCCTGATGCTGTCTGTAAAAGGAGAGAGAAGCAAAACGCAGGAATGTTGGGTGCCACAGCAGTGGAGGAAGAGATTAGGAGACGTGCCAAATATTATGAGAGAAGAGAGGAGAGGAGTGAAAGGTGCAGGGGGAGACAGAAAGAGAGAATACACACAAAAAGAGACCGAGAGAAAGCAAGACAGGTAAATCAGGTAATTGGCAAAAACAGAAAGAAAAATAGAACAAAAAAAGGCAAAGAACATATTGAAGAAAGCAAATCTGTTACAAAGTACAAATACAAGCCAAGAGCATTTGAGTAAAAGTAGAAAGATAAAAGTAAGAAGCACATCTGATCTTAGGCATTAGAGGGAAAATAATAGGACTAATCCTCAGTGTAGCAATTCCAGATATTTCAAGTTATAAGTTAGGAGAACAATTAACTAAACACTTTAACACTTTTAAAAAATTCCATATTTTTTGAGACCTCAAAAATTGAAGACTTACCTATTTTCCTATAATTGCAGTTAGCGCAGTAGATTCCCATATATATTGTTTGTCACAGATAAAGAGAGAATACACACAAAAAGAGACAGAGAGAAAGCAAGACAGGTAAATCAGGTAATTGGCAAAAACAGAAAGAAAAATAGAACAAAAAAAAGGCAAAGAACATATTGAAGAAAGCAAATCTGTTACAAAGTACAAATACAAGCCAAGAGCATTTGAGTAAAAGTAGAAAGATAAAAGTAAGAAGCACATCTGATCTTAGGCATTAGAGGGAAAATAATAGGACTAATCCTCAGTGTAGCAATTCCAGATATTTCAAGTTATAAGTTAAGAGAACAATTAACTAAACACTTTAACACTTTTAAAAAATTCCATATTTTTTGAGACCTCAAAAATTGAAGACTTACCTATTTTCCTATAATTGCAGTTAGCGCAGTAGATTCCCATATATATTGTTTGTCACAGATCACACTGTTCAAAACCGCTTACGCCATTCAACTCATCCTTGTTTTGCTCCTTCAAGACCTTCAAGTTCTTCCCAAAATTCCCTGCCTTCTCTAATACCTACACCTCCTTTCACATCTCTTTCCTCTGCCTTTCCCCTCACTCCTCCTATCACAGGATCAGTTGCTTGCTTACTTGAAGACTCGCTTTCCCTCCGTCCGGCTGGGTTGCTCTGCTGCCGTCTGGGAAGGGACCTCCTGAGGAGAGTCCGTTTCTGTGAAAGACGCTCTGTGGAGAGACAATTAGTTAGTGCAAGCTAAAGGCTACAGCACAATATGGGCAGTTTCATGTGAATCACGTCCACACATACACAAACACAAAAAGGATGTGCATGTCGGTAAATGTGTCTCTCCATCCACTTCGAAATACACTATTTGAAGGCACATTGTTTTGTTTCAAAAAACAACATCTAATTTTCACATTCAGCTTTTCTTATGGATACAATACTGATACAGCTCCTTTAAGAAAAACAATACAATAAGGCTAACGTATGTTAATGCTTTCGATATCATGAAATAACAATGAATAATAACTTCACAGCGTTTATTCATATTGGTAAATGTTCATTTCTACATAAACTACCATTAAAATAAATACAGACATTGTGCATTGTGTATTTTACAATAGAACGTTTTTTTCCCCTTCTATTTTAATATATTTTAAAATGTAAATTTTTCCTGTGATGGTAAATCTGAATTTTCACCATTACTCAAGTCTTCAGCATCACATGATCCTTCAGAAATGGCACTCAAGACACATTTATTATTTTTACTGTTGAAAAAAAAAAGATAAATTTTCAGGATTCTCTGATGAATAGAGAGTTCAAAAGAACAGCATTTATTTTATTGAACTTTTTTTTAACAATTTCTGTAACAATTTAACTCTTTGCTGTCACTTTTGATCAATTTAATGCATCCTTGCTGAAGTATTGTCCTTCAACTACAACAAAAAAACTATAATAATAATAACAATAAAAGTAGTAGTAGTATAGTCATGAATGCTACCCATTCATATAATTACTAACTAAATCAGTATAATTTCATAAACTAATAAATGACTATCAGCACTGGCCAGCTGTAACAGCAGTTTGCTAATCTAATATGTAGGGATGTAACGATTCACTCAACCCACGATTCGATTCACGATTTTGATTTCACGATTCGATTTTCTCACGATTTTTTTTTTACAAAATGAGATTGAAGACATTATACAGTATATGAAAATGTGTCGTTTTATTAGGCTATTGCTGCACGTTTCTTTGTGAAATTTAAATATAACAAAACTAAACTGAAATTTTAAAAACAAACCCCAAATCAAACAAGTAAGTTACACAAATAAAAGAAATCTCTTAATATGAACAAACTAAGGCTTTGCCTGTGCTCTTTCCATTTAAAATTAGAGGTAACCACTGGATTTTAATCATGGTCCAAACAAAGATGCAGCATGAGTAGTTTTTAATCTAAAGCAAAAACAGAATGGTCTGACTTTAGTTTCGTGAAACTACTACATAAAACATATCTGAACGAAACCGCAGACGAGCTGAATGAGATGCAGATTCACATTCTGACAGCAGGTGGCGCTCATGAACAGAAATTATACAGTGTTTCCTGGGTTACCGCTGTAAACAAAGCAGAGCTGCATGAACACTACTTTAATATGCATTGTTCAGAGGCAAGATGAAAAGAAAATACCAAGTAAACTTTTCTAAAGATAGTCAGTTCCCCTCAGAGATACATTCATATAAACTCCTACTCCAATTGTATCGCGATTTGTTTGACATCTCAACCAATTTGAATCGACACATATTTGAATCGATTTTCAACCAGCTCGCGGTTAATCGTTACATCCCTAGTGAAGATGTCAAATTCCCTAGGCCAGCATCAAGTTTGGCCACTACTGTATGGCAGTTCTTTGACTTTCCAACTGACCGTCAAACCATGCTGCAAAAACAAGCCACTTTTATGAGGATTGTGGGCTTTCCTGGAGTTGTTGGGGCTGTTGATGGAACTCATGTTCACATCAGTGCACCAACTGTAAACGAGGAGACATACCAATAGAAAACAATTTCAAAGCATCAGTAACAATTTGTGATAATTTTGCACAATGCAAAGTATTTTTTTTAAATAAAATATTAAAATATTTCAGTGTCTTAAAATTGTTTTATTGTAGTTACATTAAATGATTAGTGTTGTGCTGCTGTGACTTCACATGAGCAGACTCACTGTTTGTGTTGACATCATTGTAGTCCTTAGTTTGCAATACTTAAGCGTCACCTCAGTCGACACTTAAGAATCAGTCTTAGACTTTACTAAAAGTTGCTTTTAGCTTCTTTATAAAAGTCTCATACTCTTAGAAAAGTCCTACTTGTAACTAAGAATTTTTTGACACTTAAGTCAAAGCTTAAGACTATTCTTAAGAGCATTTCTGAGAAGTTTTATACATACGGGCCCAGAT